ACGATTTGATAAACATTTATCGTTGCGATACTGTTTCATGTCGCTAATTAATTTTTAGTTAAGTAATTTTTATTAAAATTTATAGTAAATTATGTTTCCATACTAATTGTCATCATGTTTAGTAAAAAAATTATAATATACAAAGCGTTTCTTACCACTACTTTATTACTCGAGAGTCATCGTACGAATGATGACAAAGCGGCACCGTATAGAGCGCTACTGTTTATATTTTATATTGCCAAAATCAAACATCTCGTGTTATCGATAATTCGTTACCGAAATATTTTATATATTATAAAATATACATTAATGTAAAATATTAAATTATTAAAGTATTTAATTTAACGATAAAGTAACACGGATGAAATATATTTGTAACTCTAAGTATCAAAACAATAATTATTGTCCGTAAAAATCGCGCAACGATCGAAGTGATTATTTAATATTTTGATTTCCTGTCCCTTAATCGATTCTCAATAAATTGTATATTGTTTAATTAACAAGAATTTAAAAAATTTAAAGCATTGATCGAAATATAATTAATTCTAATATTGTTAAAGATATATTATTAGAATTAACATCAATGATCGAAAGATCATAACATAATTCATTCTTTTATCTCTTTTTATGTATCCTCTGCCTTAATTTTTATTAGTAACGAATGATTATGATTCGGTAAAGATTTATCGTTGCGATACAGTTTTATGTAATTTATCAAAGATTAATTAATATTTAATTACTAATATTTATAGCAAAATATGTTTCGATGCCAATAGTAATCATGTTTAGTTAAAAAATTATAATATACGAAGCGTTTCTCACCATTGCTTTCATGCTCGAGAGTCACCGTGCGAATGATGACAAAGCGGTAACGTATAGGGCACTACTGTTTACATTTTATATTGCCAAATTTGAACAGCGTGTATCGATAATTCGTTGCTGAAATATTTTATGTATTATAAAATATTATAAATACATTAACGTGGAATATTAAATTAATAAAGTATTTTAATTTATTGATTTAAATTTATTATTTATTAAACAATTTATATACGGTGCCTTTCATTATGCTAATTATTTGCATCTATAATTCGATTATTTCGTGATCTCTCAGAATCCAAATTATATTTAAATTGTCAGATAGATCGATAAAGTAACACGCATGAACTATATTTGTGACTCTAAGTATCAAAACAAATTCGAATGATATTTATAGAATCAAATATAATTCTATTATTTAAATGTAATTTAGATTCAAAACGCATAGCAAAACAATTGAATCATAAATTGAAGTAATTAATATAATGAAAAGCTTCGTGATACGTCAATCCTTTAACAAATATTATTTAATTGATCTATATAATCTAAAATACTCCTATACATTTTAATATTCCGTATATGTTAAAGTACGTAAAATATTTCGACAATAAAGGGACAATAACACGTTCGGCCTTGCGTGCGTGTCTACATGTCACGGATATCATGTCTTGATATCATTCGTAACATTCGAGGAGTAAGGTGTAAAATACTTCGTATATTATCAAATTTTCTCTCTAACAATAAAATGAAATCGCGACTAATATTAAAACATAATTCGCTATGATAATTATTATTAATACTTGCTAAATGTTTAATTGTAATTATTACGCGATCGGGAGTGCCGTGCGAACTGTCTCACAATCGTTGCGTATACTAATCTTAATTAACTAATCTTAATCTTGTTTTCGGGAGTGAATGTGAATGCAACAAAAAAATAGCAAAGGAGAGGAAAAGCAAGTCTGAAAAAGCACTGGATAACGTGCGGAGCAACAATATGCGGTAAGTAATTTATAAATTATTTATCATTTATATTCAAACTATATTATATATATCATTTATATATTAGATTTGTATATCATTTATGTTCAGATCATTTTATATATTGCTTGTTCTTTTTTTATTTACTTGATAACGATTCTCCCTCCCTCTCCCCTCTCTCCCTCTCTCCCTTTCTCTCTCTCTCTCTCATTCCAAATTATCTAAATTATTTAAATTTTCAAATTATAGTATAATTTTAATCCTATCGTATAGTATCGTATCCTATCCTATCATATGCTAATTATATTTTTTTTCTCCCTTGTATATATTCTTCACTGTTTTCTGGTGGCACTTATCCGCGTAAATACGATTAATTGCAATTAGTAAAATATGATTAGTTACCATAGTCTAATACGTGTTACATTTTGCATGTTATTCTCGATTGCGGAACAATCATATAAAATTCGCACTTTGTTATATCATAAGAGCAACATTTATACGAGATTAAAATTAATAATAAAGCAGTAATAAGCAGAACGAATAGCACTAGTACTGTTGATGTATATATATATATATATATATATATATATATATATATATATGTACAGAGTATATATGCATAAAATACCAATCTCGTAAGATCAAAAATTAAAGTAATGAAAAATCGTGATATAACTATTGTTTAATTAATAATTAATTTATACTTGCTTTTTAGAAAAATTTAATCGAAAGATACTTGTTTATTATAATAATTATAATACACAAATTATGTTGTAATATTAGTCACGGTCGAGTTGGAAAAAGAATTTGGTAATATACGAAGCGTTTCGCACACTACTACTTTATTATTCGAGTGTCACCGTGCGAATGATAACAAAGCCGTGACATGTATAGCGCACTTGCTATACATGTCACGTTGCCGAGGTCAAACATGATATTACTAATTCTCTGCCGAAATATTTTACGTACTACACACGGAATTTTAAATTATAGAAGTATATTTTATTTTAAATTAATTATTAAACGATTGATGTATCACGGAACCTTATATTATGCTAATGATTTGAATTTATTCGATTGTTTTATCGCGCTTTTCCGAAGTCAAATTTTATAATATTTAGTTTTGCATTTTAAAAGATTGACTTAGAGCGACATAAATAAATAAATAAATAAATAAATAAATAAATAAATGTTGAGAGAAGAAAAAGAAGACACATTAATAAATAAATAAATAAATAATAGCGTGAAAAGAGAAAACATACTAATTTTTCTATAATAAATTATTATTAATTAAATTATTTATATTTTTATTTATATTATTTATATTATCAGAGAGACATATATGTTATCCTCTAAGAACATTCGTGGATATGTCCACAGAGGGAGTATCTCTAGTATCGCTTCTAGGGATTACCTAAAAGCGGACCATGACATCTCTCAGTCTTCTCTTTGTTACTAGATATGAACATATCCTGGTCTTGGACATACCCATCTAATAACGTCGTTTAGTTTATGGCCAGTTCCGCCAGTTCCTTTTCCAATCTAGAAGCGAATGTTTCGGCCTTTTGTAAAACATGGAGAATCGTTCTATATCGAAGAAGAGGAAGGTTAGTGATTTTCAAGAGTTTATAATAAAATATATGCGAAAATATGCTCATTATTGTTATGTTGGAAGCTGTTAGAAAGATATTTCGTTAAAAATTTGATGAATGTGATATCCGAAAATTATGGATGCCATGGATACTTCTAGCTTTACTGTCATCGATTTTACTTGCCGCGTGTTTAGTTTCTGGAAAGAAATATGTAAAATGTGCGAAATTTTGCTAAACCAAATCTATTACATTTTTGTTTTTTCTGCCTTTAAATCGATATTTTTTTACATTATGTTGCACGGTTATGTTTATTTTAATAAGACTAGATTAACCTGATTGTATTAACGTGATTAGTCCACAAAAGAATAAAGAAAATAACTGTGACAAAAATCCATGTATATATACAAGGAGAAAGGTTTAATATTACATATATTTATTCTTTCTTTCTTTCTGTCTTTAGTTTGTAGGAGACGGTGTCTTCAGAGCTGAGCTGAACGAGTTCTTGACTCGTGAGCTTGCTGAGGATGGCTATTCAGGAGTGGAAGTCCGTGTGACGCCAAACCGAACGGAAATTATTTTGTTGGCCACTCACACACAGAGCGTGCTTGGTGAGAAAGGACGCAGGATTAGAGAACTGACATCTGTGGTGCAAAAGCGTTTCAATTTCAAGGAACCACAGAATGTTGAGTTATATGCCGAGAAAGTGGCCACGCGTGGCCTGTGCGCCATTGCACAAGCAGAGTCTCTACGATACAAGCTAATTGGAGGTCTCGCAGTACGAAGGTAAACCAGTATTTTATTTGGTTTTTATTTGAGCATGTATCTTCTGCAATTTTTGTTAAACATCTCTTTATTTCAATCATTTTCTCATTTATAATCAGAGCATGCTATGGTGTTCTGCGTTTCATCATGGAATCTGGTGCAAAAGGTTGTGAGGTTGTTGTCAGTGGTAAACTACGTGGTCAGAGAGCAAAATCAATGAAATTTGTTGATGGGCTTATGATTCATTCGGGTGAACCGACCAACGAGTATGTGAACACCGCTACTCGGCATGTACTCCTTCGCCAAGGTATGATTACACTAACATAATGACTGTTTCAACCAATATTGTATTAATAATGTGTTTCCTACAGATTATTCATTATTGATATGAAAAATATTTAAAGAATTTATATTTTATTAAATTATTATATTTATTACATTATATATCTTTGTGTAATATTTTAGGTGTACTAGGAATTAAGGTTAAAATTATGCTACCTTGGGATCCTAATGGCAAGAGTGGTCCGAAGAAACCTCTGCCTGATTATGTGTCTATTGTGGAACCAAAAGAAGAAGTACCTCCATCGGTTCCGATTTCTGAGGTAAAACCATCAAAAGATATACCTCAACCTGCTCCTCTTGCTGTGTAATGACCATTTGAATAAAAAATAAATACAGAAAGCTGTGTTTTATCTTAAACATATTTTTTAAAATCTGAAAAGTCAAGAAAAATTATTTGTATTAGATAAAAATATCCGCATTAAATATTTTTAATTAGAAAGATTTATTGACCATATTTTGAGATTTGTTACATATGGTGTACTCTGATAATTATTTTCATTTACAAAAAATTATTCTGAATTACTTTTAAATATGATAAGTATATTAATTAGAAAATAGATAAAATTACACTAAAAGACGAACGGTTGACAAAAACGCATGACAAATACTAAGCTTATTCCAATGAAATGGCGAGTCAACAATTATCCTGTAGTTCATGAAAAGTAATTTTATATCTTGTATACACCAGACATTAGATATATATTAAACTTATAGTACCGAAAAACACCGTGCAAAATAAAATCAATCGATTAAAGAAAAAAAAAAATATAACAATCAACATTATAAATTCTATTATGCATACCATTACCTATTTGTTACAAATTCATGTTTCAAATTTGTATCATATTTGAAACTATGAAGTTAGTATATGTGCATAGATATTTTTATCCTTAAATATAATAATAGATTTGAAGCATTCTTTAAAACGAATATCTACAACCAAATTTATTATAACCAAATTATATTTTCTTTTAAACTGTGAATTCTATATAATAATTGATGTAGTATCTTCACGTTTTCTTACTTTATGTTCAGTAATTAATGAACATAATTATATTAGTATTAAGAAATCTTTCATATGCTTTGATTGTTTTCATGAATATTTTAAATTATCATGCAATATACATTTACTATGGATTTTGATGTCGGCACTCATTTTGTTTTTACACTAATTCAGTGTTATGCTGAGTGGACCCTAGAACCCTAGGAGATCTGTCTTGAAATGATAAGAAAAAGTTTAATCTTAATATCATACATATTATTGGCGCACTGGTGCCATTTGTTGAGTCAGAGACAGCAGACCATCAATCATTCTTCGGACGATATCTGGCACTGCCGGTTTTCTCGACACCGAACTCAATCCGTTTCTGAGTTCGTAAAATACATTTCGAGTGAATGGATTTCTTTGCGATGCAAGTCGCAATTTCAGGAACTGATAATAGATGAAAGGTGTCAGCAAACCGGCACGTCCCCTATAATAGAAAGATATATTCAGCATATCACAATTATACTATTCTTAATTACGATTTTATTATGCCGGAAAAATATAGCAATCTTATGTAATACATACGTAAATACTAGAAGGACTGTGAATGGCAAAATAATAATTTCCGATAGAGCACACAAGCGAAGAATATTCCGCGATTGAAATTCCACCAGAGATATCAAGAGGCGAGCTCCCCACCAACTATTCTGCCCCAACCGCTATACAGAATACATGAATAAGATGCTATTAATATGACTTATATTACTTTATAATGAATTTGCAAAAATAGTTATACATGTTTTTCTTGCATAAATTGCATATAATTATCTATATACTTACATCTATTTACTTATTAACTTACTATTTACTTACATCTAGCAAGGTAAGAGAATAACTGGCCAAATGCATCACAGCAAAAAGAAACACTGGTGTCAAAACCACTATATATTGATTCAGGATTTAATTTTGTTATTAAAATATGAATCATTCAAGAAAAAAAAAACGCTAATTGAATAAACCATATAAATTAAATATAGAAAGGATACATGTAACTGGAGCTGCATACAAGAATATCAAGGAATAAAACAAGTAGTGACACGAGTCTTCCAATAATAACGTCTCTAAAAATTGCCTAGTAAGCTGAACACGGGGCACTCTTTGGTGAAGACGTAATGCACTGGTGGCTGCATTATTCATCAATACCTTATAGTATATATTGTAAGGATTCCTAAAAATATATAAGATATGTTACATATTTCATACGTACAAGTTTCATTCTAGCTATAAAATTAGAAAATAGAAACAAACCCAAATATAGGAATGATATAACCAATGGTGAATATTATGGTGAAGAGTCTTGTGACCCATAATCCAAAGTTAATCTTGTTTTCTATAATATGCTGTTTCAAAGCTAGCCATCCCTTTTCCACATTTGGCGATGAGTCGCTCGATCCACTTGTACTATCCATACCTGATGCTATTTTCCAGCTAACAAAGCAAAAAAGTACTTAGTAAAAATTAACAAAGCAATATCTTTTTTTCCAATAATAGTAACTTTTTTATGCTCCTTGTTTCAATTAACTTTTTAGCGAAGTCTCAAAAGAAATTTATATATTTTATTTGCAAATAGATAACAAAACTACGCAGAATTATACATGAAAAAAACATTATATATCGACAATATGCATGACATCACGCATTTCTAAAGTGAAAGTTATCACTTTCCTTGGGAGAGTTATTTTTTTCGGTTGAAAAAATCGCGAAGCTTCCACGCAAAAACTGAAAGAAATGTCGAATCACGGAAATTCGATTACGGACATTGAAATGGAGACGTGTGTAAGCATTTTTTGTACATAGCGATTATTACATCGTAATATCGATGCACGACTTAATCATAAGTCTGTGCGAATTACATTGTCATTTTGATATCGCAAACTACTCGGGCCTGATCTTATTATTAGTTAATCGAACATTAAGCCACTTACACGTAATTCACCTCGTACGATGATACGCACGATATATTCCGATGTAACAATTTTTTTTACACGTCAGTGACACGAGTAAACAATTGCACGGGTCCACCTATTCGGAACATCTACGTGTTTAACGAGCCGAGAATCGAGAATATCCGCAACATTGGTAGTCTCGTTATTACGATTCACAAATCCCACCTGCAGATGTAGTGCGGAGCCTTTGATGTGGCTCCATCTCAAGTCGATACATATATATTTAGAAGAAGAGAATAAGAGTAGAAGAAAAGAATAAAAAATTGTCAGTAATTTTAGTGGTAAAATATATTAAAAAATATATTTAAAGAATATATTAAAATTTCAATTTTTTTATTTATTTTATTACATACATTATATATATATATATATATATATATATATATATATATATATATATATCTTACCACGAAATATTATATTCTTTTTCTGCTGCTTTCAAATATGTAGATTATCAAAGTTCTATTTTTATTTTTATAAAACAAATTGCTTGTTATTTTTTTTCAAATTATTTAATATAATATTTCGCAAATTTAATCTACATTAATCTAACAAATATATATAAAATTTTAAAATACTCATTTTTATTCATCAATATATTTTGATTTATGCGCAAAAAATATATATGCCAAATAAAAATCAAACAATACATTTTGAAAAATCTTGTTTTCAGAAAATGAAGATTTTGGAGTAATTGGAAATATATGAATATTATTTTTTATATATTTATTTTTTATTTATATCCTAAATTATTTTTCTGATAAAAATGTTATTATTTTTTGAATATCTAGATAAAGTGAGACTTATAAATATTGACCTTTCATTTAGCTAAAATTAAAATTCATCTTTATCTAAAATTTACATATATTTTAATTTTCTTTATTTACATGCTTTCGAGATTATTTACGGGCCTTGCTTGCGATTGACGCTAATAGCCATAGTACCAACGTCGCTTAACTTAGCTTAACTCATTCTTTGTCTCTTTCTAAAGGAACAGTTAGAAGGAAACAAAGAGTGAATTAAGATAAGATTAAAGTTAAACGATGTTGATATAAACAGACATAAGACATGAATGAATAAAAATATGAATAAAAAAATCCCCTGTTCTTTGTGAAATAAAAAAAAGAATTGATGCTCAAAAATGTGTTCGAGGTTTTCGAATCAGGAAGTACAGTTATAACGTTATGGATGTGCTTTGTCCTTGTTTTACTTTTAGTAAGATAAAACATGTTTTTAACGCGTGAAATCTTCCCGAACGTACCAATGCATGTTATGCTCATGCGCTAGCCGCATCAGCTGTTAGCTGTTACCTGTTACCAGCTGCTGTCAATATGTTAGTATCCTTCTAACTATTGTACGTGTCTTGTGTTTTAAAGTGTAACTCTCACAAGTTGCAAAAATGTGTCGAGTGCCAAATATCGGTCAAACACCTTAATGTTTATGAAAAGGTATAATAATGAAAGGCAAGTATACGTATATGACTGTTGAATGAATCGTATTTATATTTATGTAAGATAATCTCAAACTCATAATAGTAATGCGTGAAAATTTTTTAAAATTGCTTTGTGCTTTATTAATCGTTATTCTTACATCGAGAGATAGTTTTTGAATTTAAATAATTAGAAAAAGATATAGATCTGAGAGATACATTCTAAGTATTTTAAGATAAATGGAGTTTATCATGTTTTATGAATTTATTGTCATAAACTTATCATATTATGTATGAAATTTTGATATATAACAAATAAAAAAATAATCGAGATTTTATCCGCATAAGAGAGGATATACAAAAGGCTTCATGTGAAAAATAATTGATTTATTTATGATGAATAAAAAACAAATTTTAAAAACATTCTAGTAAAAAATACTACCTACCTTATATATAAATAAATTACATATGTAAATATATAATACATTGTATCCATTATTTTAAAATGTTAATTGCTAGAATTAAACTACCATTATTCATTTAAAAAAAAAAGATTTTATGATAAAACCTGTTATTCTAGAAAGTCAACAAGGCCAAAATTGGAATACATTAATTATTTTAATTTTGATAAATTCCTGTAAGAGCACACAATCCGATAATCTATATATATAAATTAAATGTCACATCACTTGTATTTCGATAATAAATAAAATTTAAAAAAAAAACAAAATATACATTATTACTATTCTCTAACAAATTATTTTAATTTTTTTAAATAAATTTTAGCAAAAGATATTTTTGTGACATATATTAATATTCAGAGACATTTTAGAAATATTAAATTCATTTCGTTAAATAAATAATCATTAAAATATAATAAGAATAGAAATATATAATAGAAATATAATACATATATAATAAAAATACATCATAGAAATACATATATATATATATATATATATATATATATATATATAATAGAAATATGTCATTGTTGCGATTAGAACATAAATGATGTATTTAAAATTGATTTGTGTATAGATGATTGAATTATGTGTGTGTGGATTTCCGATTCACGATTGAAGTGATAGAAAATCTATAATATGCGTGACATGAATTATATATTTTCTGTCACTTCATGTGCATCATGCGTAAATCGGGAAGTACCATGTGTGTGTTCTTAGGGGTATTATACAGAGTGTATCATAATGGTTGTATTAACCTTTTATTAGAGATCAATTACCGTCTATTGTAATCAATTGAATGATTCATAGATGACAGCTTCACAGATTCATAGATGACAATTTCAACCTTGTTTTTTCGTTAATAGTTTTTTCTATAAAAAATTTTCTATAAAGCATTATAAATTTTTTTCTAGAACAAATAAAAATAAAATTAATAAAATGATGATAATGTTTGAATAATGATAATTTAACGCTTTACATAAGTTATAATATTAAAATAACATACACACATACACACATATATATTTATTTATAAGACAAATATATAAAATTTTTTTGTAACCCTTGTCTTTTATTTTGGTGATAATATCAAAAATTACTTTAATTTTATGTCAAATTTTTTAAAATTTATTTTTGATAAATTATAAAATGACTTCGCGAAAATTCAATATTTTTTAAATTTAACTCGAAAAGATCAATAATTGTTATCAATTAAACACAATCATGTTATATTCATTTAATATGTACTTCACCCAAGAATTATATTAAAACATAATTCTAAATTTTTAATCGGATAAGAATAAATAATTTCGTTACATAAAAATATTTTATTAACATAATATATAATAGACATCTCTTTTTTTTAACAAAATAAATAATAGAAAACAAAATTTATTAGAAACAAACACAAACATTTAAAAGATGATAGAATAATTTAAAAAAAAATTCTATTTTTTCAGATAATATATCCAATTTAAGATTAAAGAGATAATACTTCTTATGAATGAAAACCAAGGAATATATGTCTAAATATTTAAATTTTGGTAGGAGGAACAGTCACACATCGCACACAGTAACACAAATACGCAAATCTTTCCATTCTAAAGGAAGGACAGTTCTCGAGCTTGAATATATGCTTCATGCGCAGATCCACACATAACGGTTGATGCAGTCGGAAAGTTCGGATGTAGAGTAAGTGGACGTACCTAACGGTAATTGATTGATCGAAAAGTTTTTACCTTTTCTTACAATGTAACACAAGAATTTTTTTCTAATGTTTGTAGATATTACGACGACAATGTTATTCGCGATTGTGATTTGCATACTTGTGCTTGGTGCCATTTATTTTATGTTTCGGAAAATGTGGTATATAATGGGCATGACTTTAATTTATCAAATAAAATACTATTATATCGGATTTGTTTATCATTTCGAAGATATATGGAATGCTAAATATAATAAAACAGGTAAGAATAAAGAAAGAAATTTGAATTTGTTTGATGTAAATTTTAAAATATACATACATGTATTCTCAAAAAAATATATTAAAAAATTCTCTATACGCACAAGTGTATATAGGTCAACGAAAAATATTATAATAGCAAAATTACAAGACATCAAAATTAACCTATATTATTATACCTTTTACAAGAATTTTTTATTTATGTCCGTAATAAAAACGAAATATGAAACACATGAAAGTAATATACATAAAAGTAATATACATATAAATAACATAAATACATATAAAAATATAAATATAGTATAAATATAAATATAGTATTGATACATTACACATATTAGTTTGATACATTCTTAAAATATATTACTGACAAATTATCATTGCAAAAAGATTCTAATGAAAACTATTAAAAAACAATTACAATGATTTATTAGTATAATCTCGGTATAGTTTTTATAAAATAAATTTTAAAACAAAAATTACGAAAGTTGTACAAAAATTTGAAAATTATTTTTTAATGCTAGAATGTCTAATGATAATGAGATAATTGGTGGATAATGAATGTCTAATGATAATGAGATAATTGGTTATTTAATTCAGTAGCTGTGATATGTGTGCTTTCTCAAAACGGAAAGAAAGTGTGTACTTTCTCAAAATTATAAGAAAATAAAATAGAAATACATTACACATTATTTGCCCGTCCATTATTATTTTACAAAATGCAATTAAAGCTAGATGAAATTATATTTAATTAATATACTAAACATATGTAATTGATTTTAATGTTTTGTTTACATTTTATATACAATTCTGTAGCAATTCTTCGTTCCAGATCTACCTTTAATACCGTATAAAGTTGCAATAGTAACTGGTGGTTCTAAAGGTATAGGAGCCGAAGTAGTGAAAAAATTATTGCAGTGTGACATGGAAGTGATTATCGGTAATTATTATTTACATAATTATTGTTAATTTATTTCGCGTATTTTAATATGACGAGATTAAATTACATTTTTTCGTAATAATAAGATTAAGAAATTTACAAAGTAGAATTTATCAGTTTGAGAAGCTTATATATATATATATATATATATATATATATATATATATATATATATATAAATACGTCATTACATCGAAATTTGATTAGCTTGTAGGACAGTTACCGCAGGTGAAAAGATTATCCACGAAATTAGGAAATCTGGTATCGCCAGCGGGCGAGCAAAAGTTTATAAGCTTGATAATTCTTCTTTCGCATCGATAAGAGAATTTGCGAAGAAAATAAAAGCAGAATATGACAAAATTCACATATTAATCAACAATGGTATGTCGGCCGCAGAGAAATGTAATTCGTTTTTTTAATTAGAAGGTAAAGAATTTCGTATATGAAACGTAAAAACGCTTGTTTTCAGCTGCCGTTATGTTCAGCCCCTATAAAGAAACAGAAGATGGCTTCGAAGAGCAATGGGCAGTAAATTATTTATCACATTTTTTATTAACGTCTCTTCTTCTGCCGTTATTGAAAGCCGGCGGACATCCTGGCGATTGTAGTAGAATTGTTAATGTTACTTCATGTGCTCATGACATTAGCGACATGGACTTTACCGCTATTAATAATACTTCAAAGTAATTATACGTAAAATAATATGCTATTTTTTATCTATTTTTAGAAATATTGTTTTAGAATTATTTGTCAATATACTATATAATGTGTTATTTTCTATATCGATACAATTATTTTATTATACCAGGAATACATTCCTCACGCATGCAGCGTACGGACGAAGCAAATTAGCGCAGACAATGTTTACGATAACATTGCAGAAATTACTAATAGACAAATCGTTAAATGTGCTAGTATATTCCGTGCATCCAGGTATAGTAAGAACAGATTTGTTCAGGAATACAATATTAGACAAAAACAAATGGCTTATGATGGCATGGAAGGTAATGAAATATAACAATAAAATTTTTACATTTTTCTAAATTATTATTATCAATCAATTTGTTTTTGTTACAGACACCTGATAAAGGAGCTACTCCAATAATATATGCCGCATTGAATAGAGATATTGAAAAGAAAAGTGGCATATTTATTAGTAATTGTAAAGAAGCCATTCCTCCTCCATTAGCACTAGAAGAGAAAATCCAAAAACAATTATTTGAATTGTCTTTAAAACAAGTACAGTTAAACGACTTTTTCCAACATTTGTAACAAAAATATATATTACTTATTTCACCATGGAATACCATATAAATAATTCATTCATAATAATTGAATGTATAATGTACATCTATCTTATTAAATATGATATATTGTGATAAAAATATTAGCATGTTTTTTTACATTTGAAAGAATCATGCGTTATGCTCGTCCATTCTAATTCTAATCGCGAGAAAAATGTGTAACTTGGGTCATACGCGTTATTAAATATTTCAGTAATTTTTGTTATTGAAATTAGAAAACAGATAACAATAGGTAAACATTGACGACTGTGGAAGATAATCTTGTTATTTAAATCACTTCAAATATTATATATATATGTATAATATTATATATATAATATTATATATATAATATTATATAATATTATATATATATGTATATACATATGTATAATATATGTGTAATATACAAAACGAGCCATTTTGTGCATAAAATATATTAAATCTACAAATATATTTCCGAGTCCCTGTTTTTTATCAAATAAAAGTGTTTATATAACGTTGTTTGAAGGATGCATTTTATATGAAATAATTATATATTAAATTAATATATAATTTTTTACAATGTCAAGTTTGACATTGAATAATACTATTATGCATTCATTGCAATTCATAACACGCGAAGAGAAAAAGAAGTTAATATATTTATATATTTTGATGAATAATGGTTTTTTTTATTACAAATTGTGTGATTTATATTATGCATTATTAATAACTTACATTATATAATTGTAACAAAAAGTATCATATATAAAATAAACTCTTTGGAATATAATTCTGTTAAACAATTAATATGAATTTATCTGAATTTTAAAGATCTTAAAAATTATCGATATTAATAGAAATAAAATACACTTTTAAAATTTTATATGTACAAAACATATCCATATTATAAATTATTTAAAAAATTGCAGAATTTATTAATGTAAATCCAAATTTAGTTGAGTATTAATAAATGAATAAAGATTAGATGTGTAATAATTTCATCTTCCTCAATAATTTTATTTTGTTGTAAAAAAAATGAACAAAAACGAATATTACTAAAATCAATTCAACTATAATCAACAAATAAAATCAACTACAAATTATTTTAAAAGTTAGTAGAAAATTGCAGCTACAAGTAATTTATAGCAATATATATATATTATCCTTAACAATTATGTATGTGATTATTGTGTATAAAATGTAAAAAATGGTGAAGAGAGACTAGAATACTGTGCCAAAATGTTAGTACAGTACTAGTAATATATATACTTAAGATCTTAATCTAAAAACATAAATGAGAAATAATATTTTAATATTATACAAGATATAAATAGAATAATTAACAATTAATTGTTGCTTATAATCATAAAAAAATGTAAATATAGTAAAAATCAGATCACAATATTAATATAGTTATTTTATCATATCATATATAGATATTTTATCATAATATTCTACACTGTCCCCTCTTTTAGAACAGAATCCATTTATTTATTAAGATAAAAAATAATTTTCATTGATTATATATACTATGTGAAAGTTACAATATCATCTATGTTTCGATTTCAATATGCTATTATGAGCATATAGTGAGCTGCCATTTTCAAAACAGCATATGTGTGTGTATGTGTATGAGTGATAACACATAAATATTGCACATTAAAAATAACTTTATACACAGTAGGCTTGTGTAATGTCTTGTAAAATTCTTATTATTATTAAGATTTTGGACAAATTACCAAAATCTACACTATGATAATAAATATTTGTACTTTTAAAGTAACAAAAAATACTGCAGTTATGTAAAATGCATATTTTTCTACGGCATATGGAAATAAATACTTAAACAATTTAACATCACACACAAGCAGTATTCAATAAAATAAAAATTAATAATAAAGTATACATATTTGACAATAGAGCATTAATTGCACTATAAAAATTTAATCATATATCTATAAAAATTTAATGTTCTATAAAAGCTAGTGCTTAATATATTTAAATTCTTTTGTCCCTCTCTATATATTAAATATATCTTACAACATAGTATAATGTAACATAACATATATATAACACTAAACAATAACATGATATCACTCTTTTTTAAAGATGTATTAGATATTATCAAATATTGATACGCACTTGATATTCAATCATGTTTATAAAAAAAAGATATATTGTTTTACATATATATATGTATGCTTGTGTATATATGTGTGTGTGTGTATACCTATACACAAATATATATATATACACATACAGACATACATACATACATATATATGTGTATCTGTATATATAAAACTAAAAATATCTGAAATATACTTAATATTACATACAAAAATTACTTAAGAAAGTCTACTACAACCACAATTACTACTATCACCAATTGATGTCGTTTTACCATTTATTGAAGTGGTATTTGTTTCATATCGAGGTAATTCCTTACTGCGTGCTTGCTAAAATAATACATAGCCGCTGCAAAATCTACCATAATAATAAGATACTTTTAAATAAAATATTCTCACTTACTTCCATAAGTTCAGCTGCTATCTCCATAAATAGTCTTTCTACGTTTTCTGCCTCTTTGGCAGATGTTTCTAAAAAGTACATTCCATGTCTTTGTGCGAAATCTTCACCCACATGTGTTGGTATTTCTCTATCTTCTCGATCAATTTTATTTCCTAAAGAAATGTTGAAAAACATATATTTATAAATTTATATAATAATTTATATAATTCTTATACAAGATTTTTTATGAATTTATATCTTTTTGCTTACCTACTAATATCCTAAGAACTTTATTACTTGCATATTCTTCAATTTCTCTTAACCAATCTGGTAAACAGTCAAATGTAGGTTGACAAGAAATATCATAAACTAATATCAATGCATGTGCAGATCTATAATAACTCTGAGTAATAGAACGAAACCTTTCCTGACCTGCAGTATCCCAAATTTGCAACTGAAAAAGGAGATAATACAATTAGAATAACAATTAAATAAAATATTCACTTGTAATATTAAATTTATGTTAAGTTATACGTACCTTGACTTTTTCATTTTCTACTTCAACGGTTTTAATCATAAAATCGACCCCAATTGTTGCACCTTGTCCAGGTGGAAATAAACCCTGCAAATTTTAAAGCTTCAATAAAGTCACGGATATGCTTCTATACCTCTACAATTCCATCTTTATCAAACTATATATATGTATGCTGTAACTACAAGAATTTTATCAAGTAAGAAAGAACGAGTACAACAATTAGTACTATACGGAAAATAAAACGAGACAAAAGACCAAGAAAAAATTGTAACATATACACAAGAAGGACAAGTACAAAAAGTATTATGTTCTACATATGTAGATGACATCATCTCTATAATGCATAAATAATGAACTTTCCACTTTTCCAGGAAACGCGTTCGTGCGTGAATTTGGCGTGCCATGTAGCTTGACGAGAAGATCGACATGCGAGATCTGTCGTCCTCTCGATTTCTCCGAATCCGAGGAATCATCATCGGGGAATCATCTGACATACCTGAGTGAATCGTCGCACTAGGCAAGTCTTGCCCACGCCGGCGTTGCCCACGAGCACGACCTTGAAGAGAAACTTGTAGTCCTCCATGTTCGCATCAGCACCGGGAAGCAGGCTCCGCCGACGAACGCACGTTCGCGTGCCTGTTCAACGGGGACGACACATCGAGATCGGGCGAGAGAGAGATAGACAGATCTTCAAGCACAACAGGCAGACGCTTTCAGCAGGCGTTCACCGGTTGACAGCGGGCTGAGCGCGTATAATGTCGTAACGCGTGCTCTCCTCTTCGATTTCGCGGCCGAAGGAGGAGGGGGAGGGGACCCTCGGGGAGAAAACGACTACCTCGGCATCGTCGTCGCGCTTGTACACGATTCCTCACTGAAGCTTCCCGTTTCTTTCGGACAAGACCGACGAGGATGCGCGCGCGCGGCGCGAAAGTTCCATCTGATTCCGTCATTCGCCCCCTTCCCTTCTCATGTCAGTCGCTCGCATTCTCGCCTGTCTCTTTCCTTCCTCTCCCCCTCCAAAGTTAGGATTACGTAGTTCGCAACATTCACACATATTTTTGGATTCAAGGATATTATTCTTTTTGAGAAAATAATAATATTTCTTATTAAGGAAACTTTCAAATCGATTGAACTTCAGTGTGGAAAATAAACAGGTAAATCGATAGACTTGAATATGTTTTATAATCTGCATATCATTTTGCAAAAGTACTGTTGAATTCTCAATTATTCAGAATAATTGAATAGTTTTCTTGAATGTATTGTAACGACAGATTTAGCAACTTCGTTTATCAATTAATTCGCACATTAAATAATTAATATGTACTTTATTTACATTATAGGAAGCGTGTAACTTTTGAAGATAAACTATAGAAAAAAATCTTTCCTCATTGAAGATGATGTGATTTATCCGTGTATCAAGAAAACGTTATTTAATTCGATTTTCGTCTATTGAATTCTAACAATGAGTTATTTATTTTGTTGATAAAATGGTCTGTCAGAATATGTTCTACTACTCCCTGACATAAATCATATATATATTTGAAAATAATCAATTTCATCTCGAATATAAGAAGCATAACTTTTCTATAAAGTTTTAAAAACTTTAATATGACTTTAATGTAACTTTGACATAATCTTGATCATGTATCAAAGTCTTAGTTCTCAAAAAAATAGGTTAGTCCAATTGTCAAACTTGAGAAAGAATAACAAGTCGATTATATACATGTATATATAGTTTAAGAATAATTAAACGTCAACGAAATTTCGTCGAAAAACTTAATTTAATTTTAATAAGCAAGAAACGCGAATTAGAAAAAAATGAGACGAAAAGCAGGAGTGGGTGCGATACAGAAGCAAAAGTTGGAGCAGGAGAAGTATCGGGACAAGACTACAGAGATCCAGGAGAACCAGTTTGAGCAAATGACGAAGCATATGGAGACGTTTCGCGTGAATTTAGAAGAGTTCGCATCGAAGCATAAAAATGAGATAAAAAAGAACGCACATTTTCGTCGTCAATTCACGGAGATGTGCGCTTCGATAGGCGTGGATCCATTGGCATCCGGCAAAGGATTCTGGTCAGTGCTGGGTATTGGTGATTTTTATTATGAACTCGCTGTCCAAATTGTAGAAGTATGCATGGCGACAAATTACAAGAATGGTGGCTTGATATCATTAGATGAGTTGAGGACGCGTTTGATTCAAGCCAGAGGACGTAGAAAGGAACATCAGGAAATCACCAATGAAGACTTGTTAGCTGCTGCAAAGAAATTAAGAATATTTGGGAATGGTTTCTCAGTAGTTCCTATTGGAAGAGGAAAACATTTAGTGCAATCAATACCTGGAGAACTTAGTATGGATCACACTGCAGTATTACGCCAGGCCAGCTTATCCACAAATGCTTATGTCTCCAAATCAATTTTATGCAAAGAATTAAAATGGGAAAAAGACAGAGCGCAGAAGGCTTTGGATCATATGATGAAGGAAGGACTGGCTTGGTTAGACGAGCAAAGCGAGGATGAAATGTTATATTGGTTTCCCAGTTTATTTACAGCTTGCATCGTTTCCAAAGAATAAACTTTATATCAACCTATCGTTATCAGATAAGTAGAAAATGTTTTAAAGAAAACTTAATGTTGCTTGAGATTTGTATCTCTTTATTGAATAAAAAAATCAATTGTCCTAATATTTATAGAATGTATGAGATCTAACTGTTCTATAGTATGTATAAGATATTGTCATCTAGTCTCATTTTTTATAACACTAAAATGAAAAAGGAGAAATGTAAAACATATCCTATTTTTATTTCTAAAATTGTATAGTACAAACCTATACAAAGTTCCATTATTTGGTCTAGCTGCATAATTTTCACCAAAATATAGGAGTTTATTTTCCAGTTCAGTATTTTTTTTTTGCAATATATTTATTTGTCCATGTAATTTCTTAAATTTTACTTGAAATTTTTCAATCATTGCATTTGCTTCATTAGCCCAACTTAAGGAAGATTCAAATGAATCAAAATTTTGATTAATCAAATTTTTTGTATAATATAATAAAATTATATAAATTTTATTACCTTTTATTTAATTCTTGATGAACTTTTAAATGATATTTCATTTCTTCCAATTTTTTATCAAAATCTTGTTGATCTTTCTTTTTTTCAGCTAACAAAAGGTCCCATTTGTGATCCATATTTTTAATACTGGAACAAGTTTTCATAAACATATATTTAAAAAGTGAGTTATTTATTTTACATAGATATGTGCAAAAGAAAAAAATAAAATTACCGTATATCCAAAGTATGTTTACTTATCGTATCTGTGCAATGTTGAGAGGAAACTTGTACCGGACAAATACTAGTGCCTGATTTATTTTCTCTTGTGTTTTTTTCTTTCTCAAGATTCATTTCTAATTCACGGATTTTATTTTCTAACGTACATCGTTCATTATCTCTTTTACTTATCTCACAATCGAAAGCCGACTGTAATGATTTTAATTTAGTTGTGAGGGATTCCTTATCAGTTGTAGCTTTAATTAATTGACTTTCTAAATGATTATAACGGTCAATGACATCCCTCATCCCTTCCTCAGATAATTTTATGCAATCTTGTAGATTCATAGGATTTTGTTGCTGAATTTGTTTTAGCTTATTATTCGAAATTATTAAGTTTTCTTCCAAATTACTAATTTTTTCCTGCAACTGTTGCATTTCCAAACTATGTAACTTGCACGTTTCATTACAAGTTTTGGAATCTACATATTTAGATGTTTGGTCAAAGTTTACATTTTGAAGAATTTTGGCAGCTGATTTTTCCAATAAATTTGCAGTAGACTGTTGCATCTTTTCCATTTCTATCTCCAACAATTTGTTTTCTCTTTGTGATCGATCCAATAACATTACATTTTCTTGTAATTTTGACCTCAACTCTTTAATTTCTAGTAAATATTTCTTCACATCATGCTCATGAGCATCTTTCAATTTTGCAATTTCCTCTTGCATCTTAATAGTATGTTCTTTGGTAATCGAAATTAATTGAGCTTCTAACTTGTTATTTTGCTCTACAACTTTTGCTTCTCTCTCAAGCACAACATCTTTCTCTTTTATTGCATATTCTATTAAATCAAGGGCTTCGGCCATCTTACATTTTATTTCTTCATTTTTTGTCATAATATTATTGACAACTTTTTTGCTTTCGTTCAGTTTTCTCTCCGAGTTTGAATTTAAGTTATTTAGTCTCTGTATCTCTGCTTTTGCAGTAGATAATTCCTCTGTTAATGATTGTATTATATGTTGATTATTCTTATCTGTTGAATACAATAATAATTGATACACTAATACAATAATAATAAATGTTAAATATTGATATATATTTCATATACAAATTATCTAAATTATATATAAATAACTAACCTTTCTGTTGAACAGTTCGTTGAAAATCCTGAAGATTATTTTCTATTTCTTGTTTTTCTCGCTTTAATATTTCTATTGTTTCCTTACTTGTTATCCATTGAGATTGTTGCTTTGCAAAATCATCTTTAATTTTAAGCAACTTATTTTCTAAAGCTTTTATAACTTCTGAATATTGTTGTTTAACAATTTCTAATTGCTCTTCATACAATTTTACATCTTTGCAATTTATTTGATCAATTCTTAATTTTTGTTCCGATTGTAATTCATCTACAGTTTTCCACAATACCTGTACCATCTGAAGCGCAGAATCTTTTTCTGTTCTCAAAGTTGCAATCTGCTCTTTCAAATTTGTAATTACTTGTACATCTTTATTGCAACATTCTTCCAAATGTATACCTGAGATGTAATCACGCATAGCATTACTGCTATTTTTACTTTCAATATACAGAGCTTCAAGTTTGGAACGAATGTCATCTTGATTTGTCTATAAAAAATATTTATCTTATAAAGTTATCACTACATAAATTATTTAAAATATAAAATACAATTAAAAGAGATCTTACATTAATAATATGAATAGAGTGTCATGAAGAACAACTTACATTGCAAAAATTTAAATCTTCTTTAATTTCCTTGTACATATCCCTATATTCCTGAAGAGTAATACGATTTTCCTCTCTATCATAAAGAATATATAAAAGAAATAATTATTTCTTATTCAAAAAGATATAAAGTCTGTGTTTTGCTTGCTACATTAAAACCTTAGATTCGAAATTAATAAGTACACGAGATAAAAGAAAAAGATTATGCTTTTAATGTGAAAAAAAGCTTTAAATGCTCTTTTTCCATATTTTCGTAGAATATAGATTCAAATCGAGAGAGATCAATTAAGATCGCTAATTTCTAATATCTTTTAAATTAGGGTTAGCAAAGGTTAGGCCACCACGTGACTTGCGAGCCACGTGTTTTTGTCATGTTTTTTTCTGCATTCTTAACATTTTTCTCTCCTCGAAAATATATATTTATTTTCAATTCTAAGAAGTTCAAGCAAAATTATATTTTTTCACAAGATTTTCCAACTTTGTACTTACCCAAATTTCGATATATCATGTTCCAAATCAATCATTTTATCTTTTATATATAGAATTTAATAAATAGAAAATTTTATCTTGATGTAAATTATTTTCTATTATTCGCTCTCACATTGTCTCACATTCAAACGTCTATTTCTCCTGTTAATCTATGTTTAAAGCACACTGCGATGAGACTCTTCTCGCTCTCAATATGATACTAAAAAGTATTCAATGAAGGACGAAGGACGAAGAACTGAAATATAAAGAAAATAAAATTAAAAAAAAAAGTCCTGACAAAGAACACGGGCGTGATTTATTTAAACATCCACTGCATTCATCTTGAAAAATCTTTATTCCGATTGGTCAAATCGCTTTCACCATTTACAGCGTCAAAATAAACGCAGCACCTGTCGTATGCGAGTTATTAGAAATAAAGGATTTTACTGTCATACCTATGTTTATGTTGTGTTGCCAATAGCAACGTGTACAGCTGACTACAAAACAAAGTGTACAATAGCAGCCCATTGAAATTAATTTGTGACGTCAGTGACACAGAATATTTAGTATATATTTATTTGAATATGTTAAATATTTCGTAGCGATAACGATTGATTTGGCGTCTACGACGTACACGTGTGCGCTATTATTTACATACATACGTTCTTCTGGCCTTGTCAGTCAGTCACTCGGCGAGACTCGATTCGACAAGATAACAACGCGGGTCGCTCCATGTTATCGTTATTCGCGTTTTAAATGAGATTATACTAAAAAACAATTAATCACGCGACTGTCTCGTTTTTTAAATTCACAAGTGTATCGAAATAATATCGGAGTAAGGTATATACGTCATTAATTTGACTTACGCAGTATCGCGCGGTATCTCTAACAGCAATATAATACAAGCTGGTTACAAAATACAATTTATAATAACAGCGTATTGAAATTAATTTGCGACGTCAGTAATACGGAATATTTATTTGAATATATTAAATATTTCGTAGCGATTGTTTTGATGCTACGACGCACACGTGCGCGCTATTATTTTCATGCGTATATACGCCGTGACGCGTTCTTGTCCTTGACCCCGTCATTCGTTCGACGGAACTCGAGTCGACAAGACAGCGACGCAGGCTGCTCCGACAGTCATTGTTATTTGAATTTTAAATGAGATTATTAAAAAATAATTAGTCGCGTGATTAATTGACTCGCTCTATTAATAATTTATAAGTGTATCGAGACAGCGGCTGCTTTATCGAGCAAGTATTACGCGTTGTTAATTCAACTTGCGTGGTATCTCGGATCGGAATAAAATTGCTGCCATCTTCAAATCTTTCAGTTAATGAAATGCAGCTAAGCAGCGTTGCAACGTATTATGTAAGTAAAATGCATTTGTAATTAATTTTGTATCTTAATATTCGTCAGACGAAAAATGCCTGAGTGACATTATTTTGGCATAAATCGATGATTTGATAATAAAGTTCGTAATTTGCGAAATTACTCAACTGTAAATCCGTCACGAAAACATTCGGCAAAATTGACAAACCACATTTTTATTATTCAATTCACGGATATTATCTTTCAATTTTAACTTATACATTTATTCATTTTTATCGCGTAATGCATGCGAGATAGTGTTGTGATTATATTTTAAAACAATAATACATATTATTTGTTAACAGATGCAGCATCGACGCATTGGATATCGCGTGAAAGTGTCCGCACGATTTTTGAATTTTCTCGGTCCTTCGTCCATTTTGCGAGATGTCGCGCATATCGAGCAGTTTAAAGTTTTGCGCAGATTTATTCTTTCATATTATTCTCTCGTCGTAAAATGCGCGTCGCGTGAAGTCGGGAGTGCCGTATAAAGTATCGCGCGAGTGTTTCTTTTCTGATAATTAATGCGCACGCAATCTCATAATTAACCGTGTGCTTTTGCAAGTGAGTGCCATGACGGAGCAAAGAAAAACGAGAGAAGAGGAGGAGAGCCGGGAGCGGCATTGGACGATTACGTAACAATCAGATAGAGTGAGTAATTTTTTATTTTATTTTTAATTACATTGTTGTGCACTGCTTCAGGAAAGAGAATATGTGTATATAAAGTATAAATGTATATATAAAGTAATATATTATATATTTATAATATTATATATATATATATATATATATATTAATGAAATTTATTATTTATTTATAACTTTAATTATATATTTATAAAATTTCTATTGAAATTGAGATTAATGTTACGGATTATCCTTGGAGCACACTGAGAGTTAAAAGCAGTCGATAATATCAATGTTATGTGTTATCCTTGGAGCATATTTAAGAAAATCCAAAACTATAGCAGTCTTTATAATAATGTATGATATTCTCTTTTTAAATTCATAGCACACAGTGAATATAAAAACTTATAATGTAAACATCAATAATGAGATAATAAGATAAACATCAATATATATATATATATATATATATATATATATATATATATATATGCATAATGTAAGATTTATTCAGTAAATAAATTAATAAATGAAACATTTCTTTATACTGATAAAAAGAATCAAATATAAAAATGAAATATATTAACGAAAGATTAAAATCAGTTTTAAATTATTGATATAATGAAATCTTATGTTATGTATAATTCATATCTTAATATAATTAATACAAACATTACATATTTTTGGTATAATTAGTGCAGATATAATAATTATAAAATAAATAATATAAATAAAATAAATAACTATAATCATAATCACTATAATCATTATAATCATAGCTTAATAATGAATTAATAAATGATTATAATTTATACTTAAGTGATGTGATATTTTATTTCTTTATTATCAATATATATTTACATACGAGTTGCAATATGACATGAAAATGAGAGATGATGAAATTAATTTAATTAATTCAATGGCTTTAATAATAATATATTAAATAATATGTTAATAGTTTTGGACTATTAAAATACACTTGAATAATTAGTATTCGACATTTATCTCTTTTCAAAAATACTATAAAATGAAAATATAATAATAATAATACAACACAATAATATGTATATATTATTATATTACTTATGATATGATAAAAATATGAAAAAAATAGTTTTTCTTTTTTTAATTTAGACAGTAATCTAAAATTTAATCTTTTATGAGAAAAAATTTTTGAGCTATAATTGGATTACAAAATTTTATGGGTTATAAAAATTTAACTATTTTACATTTTTCCACTTCTCTTGGAAGTGTAAAAATTATTATATCGTATCATTGTCCATTTTACCAAATGAGAGAGAAAACTATTTGATTACTCTGTAAAAAATTAATGTTACAATATCATGTCACAAAGATAAAAGCTCTTTGATACAGTTAGGGCTAAATATTTAAGTTGCTTAGTACCAAGTTAACTATTACGTGATTTGAGAAGGGCTTAAGAATAGCCCCTGGAGAGCAACGAAAGGCTAACTTTCCGATCTCGTTGATCGGAACGCGACGGTGACGATGGGAACTAGGAGATTGAGGGAATTCTAGAAGGCGTTATCTATCCGCCCGCATGATATCGGAGGGAAAATGGGGGTGGGGGTGATGCTGAGAGAGCGTCGCGACGCCTCGATCCTCGCGCTCAGTCACCGCCCAAGCCGCGCTGCGAGCAATTCGTCGTGTCCCGTGCAAAAGAACCGAAAAGAAAGAAAGGAAAAGAGAGAGAGTGCATCCGCGTGTACAATCCTCTGCGTCAACGTGTCGAATGCACCGCAACCCTCGTCGGTCGCAATCTTTCTCGTATCGTTGCGTTCTTCGTGATTTCTGGATCTTGATGATCGTCCTTTCCGCTCACGAGATCGCGATCGATCGGTTGCACGCGAACAAGAGAACCCGTGACCGGTTATCACCCTCTAAGTTTGAAGCTAACGTGAAATAAAAAAAAAAGAAGTGGTAGTGTCGCTGTGCCGTGGAGGTGCATTCGCCGACGCGGATTCTACGGGCAACGCGTTCCTCTGGAGGCGCTCAGGAGACAGTCAAGATCCATCGCTGCCCGGAGATGTCGGAAAGTCAAGGTCAGTGCTGATGCTGCGGCCGCGATGTAACACGCGCATTTACTGTGTTTACCATGAGCATATATGTGTGCAAAATTGAGATGTTTGCCGTAAACTAGGATTCTCAAAATATTTAATCAATAATTATCTAAAATTGATATACAGACATACACTGACATGAGAAATTAATAGCTGTTTTTTCAAATAAGTTTATATCTCTTGGAGCACACAAGAAAATAAAAATAAGAAATAGATGAGACATTGATTTATCTTGACCGTTTTTTTAATGGGATTGAAGAATGAATTGTTTTATCTAGAGTTGTCTGTCTTTTTTTTTTTTTTAGCTTTCGCTTCCTAGAGAAAATATGTATACAGATAATAAATAAGAGATGCTTTTTTCTGAGTGAAAAGTTTGCTTAAAGGAGAAGAAGTGGGTCACTAAAAGATTTTTTAATTTAATATTAAGTTTGTTTTTTGACTTTATTCACTTGTCATTACAATAATAAATATACATCACATAAAATCTTTGGCTTTCACGATATTAATTTTTAATAACTTTTTTTTAAATTTGTATTCTTTTTTAAAATGAAATGTTTGATTTATTTATCAAGAATATTGTCATTAACGGTTGAAACTGCAACAATCAATATTACATCATATTTTATTAGTCCTTGCAGATTCATCATGTAATCCCCAGATATTATGTTCCGCAAAATCATATTAACTTATTTGCATCCGCAATTGTCTATTTGAATCTGTAAACCACCAGCTTTTGTAAAATTTGTTAATGCTATTACTCAGCATAATTATTTGGGGTTTTAATTTGTTTCATTAGCAATCTTATAAAAATATAAAGTTTGTTAGACACAAAATTTAATTAAACATTATAACTATAATTAAATTATAATAATGTGTGCATAATATATTTACATATTTAAATATATTTTATATATATATATATATATATATATATATATATATATATATAATGTAATAAAAAAATACGTATAAATTTAATAACAATTTTTATTTTTATCTATGACAATATGCGTCAAATGGGATTGCATGCATATAACATAATCTGAATCATTCATCATTTCATTTTAACGGGTCGAAATAGCATTTGAATAGCATGTTTGAATAATATGTTTGATAAATTTGATGGCTAATCAAATTTTTTATTTTTTCCGCCATGAAAAAATTAATAACGATTCGGAATTATTCACAAATGTAAACGATAAAGTGCGTGCGAGAGAAAATGCGTTCTTGTCATATATTCATATCTTATAGGAATACTCAAAGTTTTCGTGAGTCTTGAATGCTTTGCATCTTCTATCTTGTCTGATTTAATTTAAGAATACATTTTATCGAAAACACACGCGGAATATAACTAAGAGACAAAAAGGATTGCCGGTCCCGTGATGTTTACGACCTCGTCGTTGCAACTTCTTGATTAACATCGCCGGATTGCGCGTTCATAACTGCAGTTCTTCCGAAGTTTCTGTCATAGAGGCAATTTTGCGGCTGAACTTAGTTAGAGCTCATCTTTAACCAACTTTTGAAATTGTGCTCTGATACATTCCCGTTCTACCTCTTCCTGTTCTTTCCTCGTTCTGTTCTTGCTTTTTCTCGTTTACTGTGATTTCATGCCATTTGTTGTTTTCTCAATCTCTCGATATATCGAAGAGAAAAAGAAGGGAATCTTTTATGTAGAATTGATCGAACTAGTAATAGAACCTTCTGTGAAATGTCAGAGAAAGTTAAATTAACTTTCGACGGTTACTAGGATGCTCTTATTGTCATGAAAATTGACAGGAGTTTGAATTTCGAATTTCTAGACTAAGATTGCTACTGTTAGTATGGAGGTTGGGATTTAATAAAATGAAGAAGATTAAATGGGAAGATTAATTGAATTAAGAATAAATTATATATATAAATATTATTATTATTATGAATATTAAAATAAAAAGAACAATTTTGATAATGAAAAGTTTATCTTGCATATTAGAGAAAAATAATATAATATAAAAAAATATCACGCAAATATAAATTTTTAGCATTTATATACTCTGTCTATCTTGAGTTTACGTTTATATTCTACAAAAAATAAATATATATGATATTTTTCATTTTTCATATTTTGCAATATTAAGATAAATACTTTAATAAGATGAAAGTAGTGTTTCAAGAAATGAACAACTCTTTGACAAAATTACTAATCCTAAATGATAACGTAAATTATTGTTGAAATTACTTTTCACCTATGTAATGCAAAGAGAGCAATTAATGCCATGAGCGTTAATTACCTCGTGTTAATTTTGCATTATAGTGCTTGCCCATTCTTTATTCACATATCTAGGCCGATTCATGAACGAGATATTATTTCCCAGTGGTGAAAATATGCATTGGGAATCGCGAGTGTCATAAATTCACAAGCCACTGTCATCTAATTATCCCACCTTCCGTTACACGCCTATGTATCGCTCTCGAGAGACGACGAATAAAGATCGTGACGCAACGAAAGGGAGATTCGCAAAACTGAAATCGTAATGAAATGACTCGTTTTCCAGAATGAACGTTTCCCTAATTACCTTTCCAAATTATATAAAGTACTCATATTTTTTTCTCACTTTCTTTTATCTGCAAATTCACTTCAAATTTAAAATCTAGAGTGATTAAAATTTTAATCATTTTCTCGATTTAAATTTTAGGAACTTAAACAAAAAAATTTCATAATTTTCTTAACTTCACACAAGTATACCCTATTATTAGAATTTTTTCACGTGAATATTAGTTTTTAAAAGTATTTAAAATTGAGATAAATGTGTTAGAAATTTGTGAATAAAGATAGAGTTCAATTAAACTTTGGTTAAAGAAAAATTGATAAAAGAATGCTTGCTTGAAAAAAAGTATAAAATACTTAAAACGTACTCTACATAAAGTGTTAAAAAGATTTATCGTATCACTTTCCAACTACGAATTTTTT